TACACTGGCCACAGGCACCTCAGTCGGTCGCTCGGAGAGCTCATGAACCACATAAGAGGCTCCTCGACGGCGTACTAGCTTTCGCTGTCTCGCCTCTTCTAACTTCCGGATTTCGAGCTGTGTCACATTGAGCTGATCCTTGAGTCTTCTCAAGACTCGCCTCAGCTCTCCGCGACGTTTAATGTTATAACATTCAGCTACTTGGAAGAACTTCAGGCTGGGTCTACGCCTGACTCCTTTCGCTGAAATAACATTTTGCGTCTTAGGATCTCGTTAGTGAGCACCTAAATGGCGCTCACTAACGAGATCCTAGATCGAGACGAGATCTGTGTCCTTCTACGATCCCCTAGCTTTTAAGCGGCGTATGGGCTCATCGGTGTATCGTTCTCGCCTCAGCTCGTCCGCTGTAGCAGCAATCGCACGAGCGATTGCGTACACTGCAGCATTCAAGCTGGAGATCCACCGACGTCCGTGAGAGATTGGCAGTCGTTCGAATTCACGAACGAGGATGTCATTACCAATCTGCAAGAGCTCCTGTGGTGATTTCTCCCACTGGTCTCCTCACAGGGCGCCTATCATAGGAACTAATGGCATACCTGTAGTAGTACGCAAACCTCTGGATTAGCTTTTCCTGGAGGTTCACTCGCACAGGTTCAGCCGTTATAGTCTCCGGCAGAATCCGGACGACCAACATCTGGGGGAGAGGACGCCGGATTAAGGCGTTCCGGGAGGCCCTCGCTAGCAACGTCAGTTGGCAGATTAGCCACCGCCGCCTGTTGTTGCTGCTTAAGGTACTTTGCGTACGCTGCCTTTAAGGCTAGCCACACTACGCTGTACCCCACTAGCGCTACGTGAACGACGCCAAGCTTCCGCAAGGGGCGCCCAACGTATCTTACCGTTCCGCCGATGTAATTCGACCAGATCGGCAAGGTTTTGAAGGTCGCTAGCGACCCACAGAATCCTCTTCTTCCTCGCCTGTAGGGCGTCGTGCCCGTTACCAGGGTCTTGGGAATCAGAGGCGTTTCTTAAGGTAGTCTCGTTCATTTGTGGCCACATATCTCGCAAACCACTTACTAGCAATGAACACTCAGGTACTTTGGCCGTAACTCTCTTTCGAGAACCGAAGCAAGCCAGCGAAAAGTGAAGAGCCAGCGAATCTCCCACCCATGCTACACCTCTCATGACTCTTCACAATGTCAAACTAGAGTCAAGCTCAACAGGGTCTTCTTTCCCCGCTATTTTTGCCAAGCCCGTTCCCTTGGCTGTGGTTTGGCTGCCTTGTAATAGGCATCGAATCGCTCTCTGAGCTTATCGCCGAGAGTCCTATCAGGTTGGCTCGTTTCCGAGTCACCATTAGGACTAGTTGACCGTTCCTCGATATGCTCAACAGGCTCCACTCCACCCTGCTGACTGTCCTGGTTAATCAGGTCAGTTTCTGTAGTAGCGGGTTGACTTTCCTCCTCCAGCGTATTTTCTGCTGGTGGGGCATTTCTCACCGTTCCTCGCTCAGTACGCCTGGCAAGGTTCGCGTAAGCAGCTTTAAGGGCCGCTTCTGTTCTTTCTGGGTCTCCGCTTGTTCGTGAGCTTTCCCAGGCCGTAACCACGTCAGCCCACATTATGCGACCGCTCGCTATTCTGTGTCTCTCGACCAGTTCTGCGAGCTTTATTAATTCGTCGGCACTCCACAGTACACCCTTGCGGCGCTCTCTTCTGCGGTTCTGAGCTTCAGGCTCAGAGGGCCTTTCAGGTGAGCGCCTGGTTCGCGTCGAGGATCGGAGTAATCTAGCACTCCTACGCGGTTGAGCTTCGGTAGTAAGGGCAGCGTCATTCAATAGAAGACTACCCGCCCCCTAGATGTTATAGCTCTACCTTGATCCTCAACAATGGGTGTACTAAAGGTTTGTCCGGATGTTAGGTCAGAGATCTCATTCATGGGACTCTGAACCGGTGGAACTTCGAGAAGCCTGTGTTGTGCTACTCAAGTCCGAGTAACTGTCCAGGCTTGATGTTACTTGTTCCACCTCATCTACAGCCTAGTGAAAATCTCAGTTAGTGGTTACATGCTGACACTATATGTTCTGCCGTTTCCTTTGCATTGCAACGCATTCGACACATCTGGTTACTATTCGCCCAGATTGATTGTCCTGAAGCGCTGGCTTTTGTCGGCAGAGAAGCCTCTTGGGCAGCCCAAACGTTTCGTAAGACTTCAGAGGACACCCATCCGGTCTGTGACCACAAGAACGAATCCTTGTGACAGACGTAGGGTTCGTTGTTACTGATCATTCTGCTCGCTACCACTCTTTTCTTCCATTCATGCATTCGCGTTCGCGCCCATCGTTCGTGAACGAGGGTAGATATTGCTCTTGCGGCTTCAGTGGCCGCTGCGAATGTTCGATCTTTCACTTGAATAGAAGCTTGAGCAATGCGAGTCACTTCATCCTCCAACCTGTTTTCAGCCATCACGGCTCTAAAGTCGGAGGTGAGTGATCGTTTGTTGCTGCCTCTTAGGCTTTCACAAAGATGATAGGGGATGTGGAATTCTGGTCGAGAGGCGAGATAACACCATGTATAAACAATGGTGTGCTCCATCTCCTCCTCTGCGGACTTCAGTCCCAATCCTCCTTCTTCTTTGTTAACGTAGAGTCTTGGTACGCAGCTGTGGCCGAATCGCAAATGCGATTCTGCTAACAGCTTACGGACCGACTCATCAAACGCTCTTGCTTGCTTTCTCATTGTGCAGAACTTTCCTGTTCCGTAAATTATGCACGAGATTGCATATTTTAGTTTTGGGATCACCACTTGGTTATACCCATTGACCTTTTGGCGAACCGCAAGGTCGCTGAGCATAATCCTTCGGGCTGCGGCCAACGCTTTTTCTCTAGTACGAGACCACAGTTGATCCACACTTACAAGAGCGTTCTGTTCTGCTCCTAAATACTTGTAGAGCGAACTTGAACCTAGGACAGGTATCTCCTCCATCCCAGGTGTTGTGACCAGTGGCGGGGGGTGGTTCAGTGAATTCACAGCACACTTGCTGGGATTCATTCGAAGTCCTAACTCTCCAGCCACTTTCTGGATGCCCTCTTGGGCTTTCACTATATCATCCCATCTGGGCGAGTAAACCTTTAGATCATCCATATAGAAGAGATGGTTGATCTCTAGGGGTCCTTCTGGCAAAGTCAGAGCTCCAGTAGATGTTCTATACGGGCTAACGTTGTTACGTAGCCACGCCGTAGCTTCGCCCATGTTTCCTCGGACAGGTCTACAACGGCTCTATTTTCGCCTTTGCACCGAGAGCGGTCGTCTGACGGATGGAAAGGTTGCGATTCTCCAATGATAGATTTCCAGTGCTCGCGCACTTCCGCAACCGGTACATCAGCTTCCCCTTCGCGTGGTTCCCTAGCTACAGCAGGGTATCCCCGCTGTCTTTCTCGCTGGCGTCTTAGGGCTTGCTCTATTGTTTTGATTTCAGAGTTTACAACCTTCAGCTGATCCTTGAATCTTATCCGGAGTCGCTGATATCCACGGTTGTATTGACTCTTTGTATTCGGGAAATGACCCGGTACTGTTCACTAGGAGGTCCCGGGGCATTTCCACTTCTTCTCCTGAGTTCGTGCGATAGCGTCGAGACGACACTCACGAGGGTGTCTCTCAGTGCTTTCGCCTCTCTCAGTTTCTGGTGAGTTTTACCCGCCTTTTCAGCCTCGCCGTCCAACAGGATCGTTGTGATGGCTTTGGCGATGGCATACACTGCAGCGTTCAAAGCTGTCAGTGTGCGCTTATTGGTGGAGTTAGTGTGCCCCAGCTTCTCTGAAAGGATTTCATTTGCGAGCTGGAGCATGCCCTCAGGTATTTCTCCTTTGGGCCTTCTTATTGGTTGCCTGTCATGCGACTCTTTGGCTGCCTTGTAATAGGCATCGAATCGCTCTCTGAGCTTATCGCCGAGAGTCCTATCAGGTTGGCTCGTTTCCGAGTCACCATTAGGACTAGTTGACCGTTCCTCGATATGCTCAACAGGCTCCACTCCACCCTGCTGACTGTCCTGATTAATCAGGTCAGTTTCTGTAGTAGCGGGTTGATATTTCCTCCTCAGCGTATTTTTGGCTGATGGGGGGGATTTTCTCACGTTCTCGCTCAGTACCTGCAAGGTTCGCGTTAAGCAGCTTTAATTTCGCTGCTTCTGTTCTTTCTGGGTCTCGGATTGTCGTGAGCTTCCAGGCTACAGTCAGCCCACATTATGCGTCGCCGTTCTGCGATCTCTCATTCAGTTTGGGCGAGCTTTATTATTCGTCGCAATTCCACAGTAGATCACTTGCGCTCTCTTCTGCGGTTCTGAGCTTCAGGCTCAGAGGGCCTTTCAGGTGAGCGCCTGGTTCGCGTCGAGGATCGGAGTAATCTAGCACTCCTACGCGGTTGAGCTTCGGTAGTAAGGGCAGCGTCATTCAATAGAAGACTACCCGCCCCCTAGATGTTATAGCTCTACCTTGATCCTCAACAATGGGTGTACTAAAGGTTTGTCAGGATGATAGGTCAGAGATCTCATTCATGGGACTCTGAACCGGTGCAACTTCAGAAGCCTGTGTTGTGGTACTCAAGTCCGAGTAACTGTCCAGGATTGATGTTACTTGTTCCACCGCTCTATCAGCTGTGAATCTTCAGTTGTTTTTACTGGTACGAGCTTCAATGTAGACCGCACCATTCCGGCCTCTTTCATTTGGCAGCAATCCTCGGAAGTCATATTTCTGACCGCGCTCGAAAGGCATGGAAGGATATCGTTATGACGATGCGGTGTTAACTGATTCTGCGCGTCGCGTCTGTACAACTGAAATCGCAGTTTCTGCGGATATGCTAGTGGTTTGTCTGGATGTAAGATGAGAGGCCTCATCTGCGGAACTCTCATCCGGTGGAGCAAGAGTATCTAGTGTAGTACTCAGAACAGAAGTATTCGGAGGCTTAGGTGTCAGGTGTTTCACCGCTCTCAAAAAAGCAAACTTTGCACAATACTGCAGTTGGTCTTCGCAGGTTTCTGCTGAGGTCATGCTTTCTGAACGTGGCTTTGCTGATTGGAGTTTATTTCAATGCCGCTAGCGCAGGCAATCATCGATGATTTGATGTTTGTGATTCAGCTGGCTTCTGCTGTAATGTGTGCGAGGTTTACTAGTAATTTGTCATGGTGGTGGAAGAATCTCAAGGCACTCTATCGGTGGAAGTATCGGGAGGCTCTAGCATGCTGCTCAGATTGAGCCTTAACAATGCTGCTCAAAATGAGTAATTCAGATCGATGAGATGACTTGATCCACGATCTACAACAAACGTAGTAGTGTTAGATCAAGTAGATTGCTTCGGGGACGCTCCACTAGGGGATGTTTTAGGTCTCCATTTGTAGTTTTCGAAGTGCACCCGATTGACTCGGAAACGGTTGCGGATGATTTAATTAGTAATTCAGTTGCGTCTCCCAGCTCTAGATTTGGTGGCTTCGTCCTGGTGGGTGTTTGATGGGAGGCACGGTCCTGGTAAGGTGCGCCTAGCTCATTTACTGCCATGGGGTTGAGTTGGTTAGGTCGTTGTCTGCGGTGAGCTTGTCCGAAGTTTGTAGCTTAGGTCTCGCACCGGTGTAACTCGCCCGTTTTTTCAGTTTTTGCAGCTGAGCGGGAAATGGAACCCAGCTTGTTCACTTCGCTGTCGCTCCGATAAGCACCCCTTCTACTAGAGGTAGTGCTTGTAGTAGCTCTCTGAGGCGACTGCCGCTGTTCTGAATTCGCACTGCTTGTTTCCAAGCAGCTGCCAGGACTTCTTATTCCCGGCGTGGCAGCGCCTTCATTTCGACAGCTGGTCTCCGGCCCAGCTACTGCGGATGTTTCCTCACTCAGCCGAGTGCTTTGAGCCTCAGTCTGGGGGATTCCGCTTAATGCCCGTCTGTTTGCTTTGACGAGTCTGTTATAGGTTGCTTTCAAAGCACCTCTCGTTCTGATGGGGTCATCGTGCTTTCTAAGGGCTTCCCACGATTTCTCGAGTTCGACCCATTGCACGCGCCCCGTGGCCATCCTGTGTCTTTCGACCAGGGAAACCAATTTGTCTTGCTCGTGTACAGTCCAGGGTAAACTATTTCGTGCAAACGACTCTTCGCGACTTTGGGAGCGAGTCCCGTTCAGTCTAGCGGAGTCGTTTCTGGACTGATTTGAAGAAAAAGAATAAAAAGAAAAATTAAAAAAGGGACCTTAAAGAGATCCCGGGTAGGGGGCTTCCGGGGGGATTTTCCGGGGCCCCCTGAGCAGGGCCATTTATTCTCTTATTTGACTGTTTCGTAGCAATTGGGTTTTTTACAGGAGAGGGGTCGCTAGCCCCAATCCAAACCCTCCTCCTTTTGCATCCGGGCTTGGGACCGGCAAATGGCGGAGTTAGAAGAGGCTGACGAGGCATTCGGTTACCTTAAGAGAGTCATAGTTACTCCCGCCGTTTACCCGCACTTCCTCGAATTACTACATCAGAGACAGTAAACGTCCGCAAGGACCATCTGTCTCCTCTGTTTTAATTAGACAGTCGGATTCCCCGAGTCCGTACCAGTTCCAGTTCGACCGTTTTGATGGTCGGTCAGGATACTAAGCCCGAAGACAAAGCACACACCTGAAAACGTCCACAAGGCAGTCTTGTCACTAGTCCAGCATCAGCGTGAGCATCAGCCAGCCACGGACGAAACCGCACAAGCATCAGTTAACAGGCCAACCGACCCGGTCACTGGAGCCAATCCTTTTCCCGAAGTTACGGATCTAATTTGCCGACTTCCCTTACCTACATTATTCTATCGACTAGAGGCTGTTCACCTTGGAGACCTGATGCGGATATCGGTACGATGCAGCACAGATTAATAGCCTTCCCTGGTTTTTCAAGGGCCGTCCAGAGAACACGAGACATCACAGAAACCGCGATGCTTTACGGAAACAACGTCCCTATCTACGGCTGAACCGATTCCAGGGAGTCCGTTCCTTAACTAGAGAAGAGAACTCTAGCTCGGTCTCTGAGCGACGTAACCAAGTTCGAATGCGTTACCGCGCAAGTGACTCAACGAGCCACAATCTCTGTGTCTGCGTTAGGGAATATTAACCCTATTCCCTTTTGATATCCGAGAGAAAAGAGACTTTTCCCTCTCGATGATACAAGGCATAAGCCAGTATCTTAGGATCGACTGACCCACATTCAACTACTGTTCACGTGGAACCCTTCTCCACTTCAGTCTTCAAGGATCGAACTTAAATATTTGCTACTACCACCGAGATCTGCACTGACGGAAGCTCCAGCTGGGCCTACGCCCAAAGCCTTCGACGCAACCGCCACGACCCTCCTACTCGTTGCGGCCAGGCGCTAGACAACGCACAAGCCAGCAACGGCTGGGTATAGGTCTCTCGCTCAAGCGCCATCCATTTTCAGGGCTAGTTGATTCGGCAGGTGAGTTGTTACACACTCCTTAGCGGGTACCGAGAAAATCTCAGTTGTTTTTATGGACGACGCTTCAATGAGAACCGCACTTTCCGGCTCTTCATTTGGCAGAATCTCGGAAGTCATTTCTATGCCGCTCGAAAGCAGGCTATCATCATGACTCGATGTTAAAGATTCTGCCGCGTCAGTCAGTACAACTGAAATCGCAGTCTCAGCGGATAAGCTAGTGGTTTGTCTGGATGTAAGATGAGAGGTCTCATCTACGGAACTCTCATCCGGTGAAACAAGAGCCTCTACTGTACTACTCTGAACAGAGTAATCACCGAGGCTTGGTGTCACTTGTTCCACCTCATCTACAGCAAACCTAGCACAATTCTCAGTTGTTACCTATCGGCGACGCTTCTCTGAGGGTCATCCTTTGTGATCCCTCGCTTTGCTGAATCTCGGAAGTCATTTCAATGCCGCTAGACAGCAGGCAATCATCATGACTTGATGATTGTGATTCAGCTGCGTCTGCCTGTACAACTGGTGCGGGTGTACTAGTAATTTGTCTGGATGCATGGAGAGAGATCTCACTTAGGGAACTCTCATCCGGTGGAGTATCGGGAGCCTCTACAATGCTGCTCAGAATTGAGCCTCTACAATGCTGCTCAGAAATGAGTAATTACCAAGACTCGATGTTACTTGATCCACCGCATCTACAGCAAACCTAGTACTTAGATCAATAGATGCTTCGGGCGACGCTTCACTAGGGACCATGTTTTCAGGTCCTCCATTTGGCTGAGTTTCGAAAGTCACCTCAGTCCTGTTCGAAAACAGGCTGCCAGAATGACTTGAAGTTAGTAATTCAGCCGCGTCTCCCAGCTCTATTGGCGTGGCTCGTCCCCGTCTTTTGACGAGCCTTGCGTAAGTGCCCCTAAGGGCCTCCTTACTTCTTGGCGGGTCGTTCGTACTGCGTGAGCTTTCCCAAGCAGAGCTCAGGTCATCCCACCGTACTCGCCCTTTTTCAGTTTTGTGCAGCTGGACCAACTGGACCAGCTTGTTCACTTCGCTGTCGCTCCAATAAGCACCCCTTCTACTAGAGGTAGTGCTTGTGGTAGCTCTCTGAGGCGACTGCCGCTGTTCTGAATTCGCACTGCTTGTTTCCAAGCAGCTGCCAGGACTTCTTATTCCCGGCACGGCAGCGCCTTCATTTCGACAGCTGGTCTCCGGCCCAGCTACTGCGGATGTTTCCTCACTCAGCCGAGTGCTTTGAGCCTCAGTCTGGGGGATTCCGCTTAATGCCCGTCTGTTTGCTTTGACGAGTCTGTTATAGGTTGCTTTCAAAGCACCTCTCGTTCTGATGGGGTCATCGTGCTTTCTAAGGGCTTCCCACGATTTCTCGAGTTCGACCCATTGCACGCGCCCCGTGGCCATCCTGTGTCTTTCGACCAGGGAAACCAATTTGTCTTGCTCGTGTACAGTCCAGGGTAAACTATTTCGT